CTTCCTCACAGACTTCTTGCTTTGGAACTTTTCCCAGCTTTGCCTAGGACATGGTAAGTCTTTTAGAGAAATGAGCTGTAATGGGAAAGGGAGCTAGTATATAGTACTTGTCTGATGCATGATTCCTTAATGCAAGAAACAATTGATCTGGATAGCATACAAGTGAGAATGGGTTCTGATTTTATAGGGAAAACGCCACTCTTCTGTTGAAAGAATGAGGAAAAAAGTGTCCCCCTGAATTCAGTTGTGTGGCATATACAGGACTCTGACTGCATCCTTTTATGGGAAAGCCTTTGAGAATGTGAAAGGATATTCTTTTTATCGAATAGCCTATAATTAAATTAATTTTAAAGTTCACATGAAATAGTCACAGCCTGAAAAGAGCTATGGAGTCTAGTTTCATATGCTTTAAAAAGGTTCCTTAGCAATAGAAATGGATATCAGTTATGATATTATTTAACTTCTGGCTGAGTTAACGATAAGTAAAAATATAATGTTCCAAGATAGGAATATTAGTTCACAATACTGCTAAATCTTAGGAGAGTCCTAACGACTGTACCTAAGTTCCAGAAGCTATTATAAAACTTCTAAAAAAGCTTACATATGTAATGCAATGATAAAAATACATTCTTTGTCAGCTCTTAACACTGGATTTAACGTGTGTCATAAACACTGATGGGAAGGTGTCTAGAAACCCTCTAATAATAATACCTGACTAGATTCATTTCAAAAGAGTTCCATAAGATGGTCTCACTCCATAGTCATCCTCCTCAATCTGTCAAAATAGTCAATCACCCCTTCTCCTCCTCTGCAGGTTTCTCTCCCTGGGCTTTAGTGATTCTGATGCCCTCTTTCTTCTTCTACCTCTCTACCCAGCATTTCCTCTTCATCTTCTCTTTAGTTATCCATTGGTGTGCACCAGGGTTCTGTCCTTAATCCCATCCTCTTCTACCCTCTCCTAAGGAAAATTCATCTGCTCATGCTGTATCAATCTTTGTAAAACTGCAATTTAGCAAATTATGTAAAGGACAATTTATCATATTATTGTAAAGAAACATTTAATACATGCTACTTCAGTAGAATACACAGGAATCTGCTCTATTTAGTGATTGGAGATTATCTGCAGCTCCTTTTACTAAACAGAAAGTTAATATAGCTCTCGTATAAATGGTTATCTTGAACACTACATATCTCTATCTGTCTACCTAAACTATCTTTGTGCAGTTTTGGATTGCTGACTGTCCTTCTGATGTCTCCTCCCAGATTATCCTTCAACTATGACAACCTCAAAAGAGTGAAAACTGAACTTCTCAACTTTCCTTCAAAAGCTTTCTGCTCTCTTTTCCCTCTCCATAACCTTAGACTATTCCAGGTTCTTTCTAAATACTGTTGTTTCCTCCTCTTCATCACCTCTAAAGTCCTTCTGTCTTGCAACTTCCTCCTGTCTGGCCTCCATGCATCTCATTTCATTCCACCCCCTCAGTTTCATCAAAAAGCTACTCCTAAAATTAATCTCCTCCTCCAGCTGCTTTGACCATTTAAATCTCCTATTTGAATTTGTTCAGTGGTTTACTCTTATCTTTTGCATCATGTTCAATTCTTTGTAACATATCACATTATTAAACCCATCCCTAATGTATATAGTTCCTCTCACTTCTTGCTACCCTCCCCACACGCCTTTGTCGACACAAACCTGCCTACTGAGAACCCTTGGAACAGGGTGGCAGAATTCTCTGTTGCCCACCTTGGGAGCAGTCGTTGCAACCTGGCAGGGAGCTGAAGGTTAATTACTGCTGACTGGAGCAGATGTAGCCCATTAGATACTACACTATATGTAAGTAATAATAGCCTTTTGAAATCAGAATATAGGGCCTGGGACAGACAGGTAATAAGGGAAGTAATCTAGTCTTGAAGAAATGAAAAATAATGGGGATGAGGCAGTGAAAGGAGGACGTATCCATCTAGTTATCGTTCACAGTAAGCACATCTTTCCCTATTGTTTATGGTATGAAGAATATAAAATGTTTAGTTGTATCCCTCATTTTCTTGAATATATTGTCCTGGTCTAAAATTCATACAAGGCCTAGGCACCACTTAATTCCTATTTAAAGCCTTAAGTGTGACTTAAGCAGTGTACCGACCTTGCACTGGCCCTCTGCACAGGTATAAATTTCACAGAGAAAGGCTATCACGTGAGCTGCAACAGACATCTGAGCTTTTTGCCATCACAAGATATACCACTTATGCTTTAATTACTGTGAATCCAGCAAAAGCATGATTTTTATCAAATCAATCAGCAGTGTGAATTTATTTATTTATTGCTCGCTTCTGAGGCCAACATTTTTAATTTATGAAATAGTTGTGAAAAATGTTTATTGGTTTGTATATCCATAATATCCAGCTCTAACCTTAAAACATGTTCAAGAAGTTGTACATTTTACTAAAAAGGAATAGGAACAGGCATTCCACAGCTTCTGTTGAAAATGGTTGCAGAGACCACATAAATTGGGTTATAAAATATATATTATTTTTACTAGTGCCTCTAGACTATTTCTTGGCTTCAGTGGTTCTTTAACATTGACTAACATCAACTTCTCCACATGGACTACATTTTTCTTTTATTACTGCCATTCTATTTTCTACTGTCATCATGCTACAGAGCAGCCTACATTTTCAGGAAAGTCCTTGGATTAAGGGCTTTATGGAAAATTACAAGACCTTAGCCAAACATTGTAATTCCAGACAATTGAGGGCAGATTCAGTGGATAGGTTAGACTGACATGATAAAACTGAACACAAGGCCATTTAGGGGGAAAACCAAAAGATGATAGCAAAAAGTACAAAACAAGTGAAGGATAATTATCTAGGAGAGGAAGAAAAAGATATGAAGGCTCATAGGAAACCTGGAGGAAATTGCATTTTACTTTGGAAAGGACAGAGATTAGAAGAGTAATGGGAAGGTTAAGAAAAAAACAGCTTAGAAAGAAGAGACAGGGAGCAAAATACTATAATTATTTAGAAAAATGGTAAGCATGCTCAAGAATAAAGGAGAACATCAACCAGTCAGAAAAAAGAAAATGTTTGCAGGATAGAAGGTCAAATACAAGAAAAAGGCAAATGTATTCGGGAATTTAAAAACTAAATTCCAAAATGTTAATCTTGTCTCAAACTACAAAAACAAAGACATGCAAAGTTAAAGCTGACATTCTGTTTTAGCTTGCTACGCCTAAGTACTATAGCCAATACGGTATTTAGTGCAGCCCTCCAATACATTAAGAGAATATTTAATTCTGAATTTCTCTGGACTTGGATCCTAACTCTGAAGGTCTAATAGCAGTACATTCTCCACTGAGAGGTAGCTTGTCTTTGGAATTTGCCTTACACATTAGTCCAAGATTGCATGAGTTTATTAACCTCAGGGCACAGTGATATTCTACAACTATCCAAAAATAAGTGAAAGGGGCAAAATATAGGCTGTTCAGCAGTTCTTAAACAAGCGGACATTTACTTCCCTCTCTCACTTCTGAACTATACAACAGACAGTACAGTATGTTCAAATTATGTGTGGTTATTCAATCCAACAGTATTCTCTCAAGCTTTTGATGCCTGACTGTGTAATGCTGCACAGGATGAACGTTTGTAAACAGCAGGTATTTTTGCCTGCTGTTCATAAACAGCTCATTAGTTCTAAAAGTAGCAGAAATGGGCAAGTGCGACTTTAAAGTAGCTTGGCTGTTTCACATGCAGCTGAGGAGAAAGGACATTATTGGTTTAATTTAAAGTTAAAATCCAGTGGCCTGATTTTCAGAAGTTCGGCTCCCACTGAGTCGGGGGGAATTGCAGGTGTTCAGTTACTGAGGAAATTAGGCCATTGAAAACAAAAAAGTGTAATTTATTTAGGAACAAGGGTGAAATTATAACATGCAATAAAAAACAAACCCTTTCTACCAGCCGCCCCAAAAAATGTATACCGCAAAGAAAATTAAAATATATTTTTGGTCATGATTTGTATTAAGGTTCAATTTATTAATGGTTGATAGAGGGTGAATAAGAGGTTACAAGTATGTTATATACATGACTAGCATACCTTATCAATGGTTATAAGCACACCTGGAGGCTTATATAACAATCTAGAAGATTAATCTTTTATTAAAATATATATTGTCATTTATTAACTATTTATAAAGGTAATATAAAGTGACCATATTTGGCTTTTTCAGTGCATAGACTATAATGGAGTTTCATCCAAACCAATACGAAGCCATTAAAAATATGCTTGCATAGTGCTGAGCTGGCAGAACAACAATTCATTCTTGTAAAAATGAACTGTACAATAAACTGTACAATAAACGGTGACAACATAGACATGTGTACCTGGAACATTCTGATGATGAGTCTGCCATTTTGTGCAAGAAAGGCCCAACGAATGGTATGCCACCAACTGTGTCTTCCCTCTCCTTCCCCCCCGCCCCAATTTAGACAAACTGACAGACACACACCAAAAAATGAGCCAATGTCAAACCCATATTCATCCAGAGTAAAGTAGCAATTCCAATGAAATATTCCCTTCTGACCTCTCCCCTCCCTACCTCTTTAAGATACCAACCTGAGATTCATCCATTCTTCTAGATAATTAATTTGATTGTTACAAAGGGGGAAAAAACAAAGATAGCTAACAGACTGCATTAGCCACAATTGCCAATGAACCCTCTCAAAATAAGATGCTTCACTCCTCCCCACCCCCAGCATGTGCACAATTATTTACCCTTTTCCTATTTACACTTAACACAGCATTTATAAAAGTACCATTGATTTTTTTAAAGTATTATTATCTGTAAGTGGTAGCTGGCAGATTGTTTACATAAAACATTCCAAATTACAATTTATAACAAGTTTAAAGCTCCTTGAAGGTCACTTGATGCAAGTTTACTACTTGGCATTCATTTAGCGAGAGAGAGAGAGTGTAAGAGAGAAAAGCAGTGCAACATGCTTTTTTTTACCTTGCCCTTGTCAAAGTAATGGATAATTTCTTGATAAAGCTGATCTTTAAGTTGTCCTTGAGTAGTTGCCTGGTATCCATCTCGCTGAGTAAGATGTGCAGCACATGCCTCTTCTGACCACTAAACCAGATATGAAGAGTGAAAAAAATTAAGGCAATAAAAGGTGGTGTAACATATCAATGACATTGGGCTAATGCAAACATTAAATCTTGGTTTATTTTTAAAAGTGCCATCAGGGCTGGCCCGATATTTAAAAGATTTTACAGCACCTACGATGCCGTATTTTGATTTCCAGGGCAGTGGAGTTACTTACCTGAACTATAGTAATTATAGGATGGTTTATATATCTCAGCATCAGCTAAGGGACAGGTCTTTGAGGTGGTTTCCTTTTCTCCTTGATAGAAAGGATTAGAGTGACCTGGCACTCTTGATCAACACAGTTGGCTGGATAAATAACCATTATTAGTAGGTTTACACTGAGAGAAAGCCTACAAAACTGGGTTATGTCAATATGAATGGACAAAACTGTATACATAGAAGGTAAAGAGCTAAAATTCTTGGAGAAAAATGACTGGAGAAAAAGGAAAAATAGCAAACAAAAATATAAAGGCTGCCTGAAATTGGTGTGCATGTGGGGGAAGGAGGAGGGGGGATCTTGCTTTTTGTAACTTTCTAAACAATTTGACTCCATGACTATCTTAATTAAGGTTGAGAGGGTCTTTCCCCCCAATTTCTGGCTCAATGAACAACAGACTGTCTCACACTTTGATCCTGCCATACCTAGGCATGATACTTGCTATAGAACAAAAAAACAGTGCCAACTACCAGAGATGCGATGATAAACCTGCACGGCCCACAACCTGAAATGTCCTGTTACAAACACGGTCTTTAAAAATATGTAATTTATATACAGATGTGTTTTCAATAAGAACATTAGGGGTATAGTGTTTTATCTAAAATATCCATCTGGGAGGTGGTAAGGGGGAGGGATAAGGTGAGACTTCAAGTAGATTAGAAAAATAAAATTCAAAGAACTGCTCATTGTCTCCTACAGAATGTAAAATTATTGTTTTCTTGTCCCCAAAAGTAAAAGGTACAACTTTGGGATGAAAAGGAGTCCCTGCAAGGACAGCAATTCATAGATTCATTCACAGAATTTGAAGTCGGAAGGGACTATTAGGTCATCTAGTCAGACCGCCTGCATATTATGAAATTTCACCCAGTTACTCCTGCATTGAGCTCAATAACTTGTGTTTGACTAAAGCATATGTTCCAGAAAGACATCCAGTCTTAATTGGAAAGAATCAACAGACAGAGAATCCATGACTTCCCTTGGTAATCTGTTCCAGTGGTTCATCACCCTCACTGTTAAAACTGCGTGCTTTATTTCTAATATGAATTTGTCTGGATTCAGCTTCCAGCTTCCATTGGTTCTTGTTATGCCTTCCTCCACTAGATTAAAGAACCCTTTGACACCCAATATTTTCTCCCCCTGAAGGTACTTATGCACTGTAATCAAGTCACCTCTCAATCTTCTTTTTGATAAACAAACAGATTTAGCTATTTAAGTGTGTCACTGCTCCTAGATTTATAACTTTGATTAGATTACCAAGCAATTAGATTTGATTAACAAGTGATTAGATTAGATTACCAAGCGATCCAGACCACTCTGTATGACAATCTATTTGTCTGGGCTAGAACAATTTTAGTATATACTCAATAAAATGAGTTTAATCAGAAACAAGTTGCATCTGGAAGGAAGAATAAATATGCTTCCGAAGACCCAGTGATAATTTCAATTTTCAAGTCTCCACTGCTCAGCTTCAAGTCACATTTCTATAAGTAGCCACTTTTTTGTATGCAAAAACCATATTGCTAAACTACACAAATTCCAAAGGAGTCTAAAATGCAATTACATTTTTCCATACACAAAGAGCTACTGTGTACTCTTAGCTTGAACAACTTAATTTAGACGAAATGAAAATAACAAGAAAAAACATCTCCATGAGAAAGAAAGTCTCCATGAGTGAGTGTGTATGTGTGTGTGTCTGTCCAGCCGGCCTATATATGGTGTGGAGTAATTCTAAGAACTAAATAGCTGCAGATTTAAAGGTGGGATTTTCAAAAGCACTCAGGGCTGACCTAAATCTCATCCCATTAAAACCAATTTGTGTTTTACCATTGACTTCAATCTGATGACATTTATTCCAGTGCTGAGTGCCATTGAAAATCCCATCCTCAAGGTCCAGTGGAAAAAAACCTGAAGCTTTGAAGTTTTAAGTTACAAGCTCCACAGTAATGAAGAGACACTACATGAACTGAAAAAGCAGTAAATAAACTTTAGAAATTTTGACATAATCCAACCATTCACTAAAGGATTTAGAAGAAAACATTTCTCAGGGGCAGGTGATCCCATAATGCCTATTGAAGGGTTTCTTTCACCTTCTTCTGAAGTATCTGGTCTTGACTACTATTAGAGACAAGCTATCAAACTAAATGGACCACTGGTCTCATCAAGTACTTTCCTATGGAAAGTAAAGTAGACTGTTTACGCTTTAGGATGTGAAAATCACAACAGATCTGACTCATTTGTAAGCCAAAGCAAATGCTACTTTTATTTTTGCTATTTTCTATTGCCTTACATTGCAGAAGTAGAAAACTGATTATATGATGGATATTTCATTTCAATTAATTAACAGTAGTAAATTAAAATACTCATCTGGTATCTGAAAATATTTTATAAGGAAGAATAAAAATATACTCCAAAGTGTAGTTAATTGAAATAGTTTAAACTCTAAATTGAGGACACATAAAAACATATTGATTAAAAAATTGCAAAATCTAATGAGTAAAAGACAGAGTGAAATTATCTTGCACTCTGAACTCCATCATCTTCCTGGAAGATGCAGCACCTCAGTAGAGGGAAATGTTTTATCTGGTCTATCAGACTTGGTTGTGGAACATATGATCAAGCAAGTTATGACAATCTAGACATCATTTAATAACTCCAGTAAGAAAATATTATCCAGACTGTCAATCCCATTTAATTTCCCTAATGGGAATAACAGAGATCCTTGTGTCCACAAAATCAGCTAGTTATTCATTCAAATTTGTAATCAAAACCCCCTGGAAAATTCAGTGTGACTGAAGGTGTCAGAGCCATCTTCTCAAATCTTTATCTTCATAAGTTATGTCTCTGTGTAGTATATTTCATTATGAAAGCAATAACTTATAAAAGCACTTTAGCAATAGCTTTATCCTTTAAGTGCCAGCTGAATATCATTGACATTTTCATTTTTATATAATCACCAATCAAGTTTAAAATAAAGTGGAGTATATACCATTGAAAATGTCTTCACACAATTCCACAAAAGTGTTCTGAACCACATTCAACCTTACAACTACAATTTTGGCACAATGTATTCACAATCCTGAGAGAAAAGTAAGAAGGTGCTCAGGATAGCCTTTAAAAGTGTTTCAGTCAACATTTTCAATTGTGTCTTTCTAAATGCAAGTTTATTTATTCTTTATTCCAAACATTTTTCTCTGTGTTCCCCAGATTAAAACTACTAAAACTATTTTGCTGCAAATTATTAGCTAAAAATCCTTACGAAATTAGTTGCTGTTAGAAGGGCCGACTTCTTTCTTATGAAGGACAACCCTATCTTTCATATATCCGCTAACTGGTAGGTTTTTGTCCTTTGGCAAATAGCTGTTGACGTGGGGTTTTTTGTAGCACTTTCCACTACAGTATACTGCACTACAAAATCATAAAAGCTTTTAATTTATACGTCTGTTAAAGCTCTAGGTACAAATACTGAGCTATATATTGTTTATATCTCTATGCATACACATATATACATATTTACATAAATGCACCCTTTCTAAATTGATGAATTATTTTGAATTATTGCTATCACAACAATGAAATATTATAGTCACAAATTACAAGAATGAAACTACTTTGTACTCACAGTTGTCTGCTTGAGAGTGCAAATTTGGGTTTTTACAAATGAAGTGCACACACAAATTTTGCATGCAAAACTTAAGCATTAACCTTGCAAAATGTGCATTAACCTGTTGTTACTTTGCCTATCAGTCAATTCTTTGTGGAATTCAGGGTTATCATTCTAGTTCTCACAGGGAAGTTCCCATGACTATTTTGATTCCCACTTTTGGAAGCTGTGGTTTCACTATACATACCTATTTTACCATAAACACTGTTTTCCATCAGTTACTTATACAGAAGCCTCATTCTAAAAAAACATCTTCAGGGCTGGACAAAGTATTTTGCATGGAAACTTTTTTCATTGTAGAAAAATGACCTTTGTTCAAAACTGAAACTTTTCATGAAAAACGGTCAAAATTATTGAAATTTTCAATTTTTTGCAAAAATGTTCATAATATTTTTATAGTTTTCACCAAATTTTTATTGAAATGTTTATCAAAATTGTTATGGAAAAATTTAGTTTACCAATAACTGTCTTTTCTTAGAGTTTTCAATAAACAAAGTATTATGAAAATGAATGCAGTACAAGTTTTCATAAAAATATAATGGAAGATTTCATAGAAAATGGGTAATTTCAAACTCTGCTAAACAGAAATAAGTTAAACAATTTCAAAAATTTTCACCAAATAATTTCCCTATTTTTACATGTTTTAATTATCATAATAAAATTAAAGTTTATAGAAGGACATGCTTTCTGGTATATGTGCTGCATGAACATCAGCTCACTTATGCAGCTCTCACACACTGAAGACCAAATTCTGCTCTCAATAAGCATATGAAATTCGCACTAAAGTCTATGGGAAGAATGATCAAAAGAGTGAAGATCTTGACACACTGAAGTTTATGCACTATCCAAACTCAAGCCCCAAATTTAATTCTTTCTTCTACCTTTCCATGTCTCATTCTTTGAGCTCCCTTCCAGTGACACAGGATCTAACCCTGCAAAGACTTATGCCAATGCTCAATTTTATGATGTGTGGGTAGCCCCATTGACTCCATATGCACAAAGTTAAGTACAGATGTAAGTTTTTGCAAAATCAGGGCCATAAAGAGAAAAACAAAGATTTTTAAAAATCTGACTATTTCCAGTGTGAAGTTTAGATTTCTACTTCTCCCCCTCTCTCTTTTAAAGCTAAAAATAAAAACTCATTGTCACTCATTAACATGGGTGGAGTAATAAAGTAAAAATGTGATTTCAAAATGGCATGCATACTGTTGAAGTGCAACTGGAATCTTCCTAGATGACAATTCAGGGAATAAAAGAAACTGTTAATATATGCAGCAATACTTATGATGTAATGATGTAATTAAGCCACTAGTTTTAGATAACAATATGTATAAAGTGAAGCTTTTACGTGACATTACATTATGGCTTTATTACACTGTCAATCAAAGCTATAAAAAGGTAGGTATTATTACCTGGTAATATTAAAATTCTGTATGTTTTATTAAGATGTAATATAATTAATTTAATTTATACTACTAGTCTATTTATTGACCTATTTCAGACATTCCTTAAAGTACAGTGGTATCATTATATGAATTTAGATGCACTGAATTATCATAGACACTCCTTTAAAAAGACATGATCTTGGAAGGAGGACTACTGTTAATTTTCCCCCAATGTCTTGAAGCAAAGGACTAAGTTTAAGATCCTCCATAACAGTGCACTGAGCTTCCACTAGGCTCATGGGCTGACCTATTTATTACTTTAGCACAGTTGTCTATGAAAAGCTGATTTGCAAGAACAAATGCTTAGATTCTTCCAAAGGTTACTAGCATTCCTATGCATTTAGCTAATTGTTAGCTTTTTTATTGATAGTTTATGCTATTTACTCTTGATTTTATTGCACTTTTACTGCTGATATTTTAGATCATCATCATCGGTAAGTCATATTGCTCTTCTATGAGACTGAGAGAACATGGATTCAATTTTCGTTCTCTAGGCTAAGTACTAAGGTTACAATAATATCTAATTATGGAACATATAGTAAATCACAATACAACTTTGAGTTACTTCTTTTTTTATTTTGAATAAGTCAATAATCATAATTTGTAAATGTGGATGTCTAAAGCTCATATGAAAAAATAAACACAAAGCTACATAGTAATCTGCCAACAGCAAAATCTTCAAAATGCTTAATGTATTTCAAGTACTCTACCTTAAGAAGCTTTGCATGCAGAAGTAATGTGTAGGCAGCTTCAGTGTAGTTATCACACTCTTTGTGCAGGTCACATAGCTTGTACAAATATCTACGGTAATAAAAGAGAGTCAGTTCTTAAAATGTCACAAAATAATTTGTGTTGAAGACTACAACAGATAAATTCTATGTTCAAACAGTAAAACATATCTGGCATTTTTTAAAGCTCATATTTCTCTACTTCAGACAAATTTTTAGAATAAAGCATGCCAAGAAAATCAACAGCAACATCAACAAAATATACTGGTATGTTTTCGAATAGCTATAAAACTGTAACTTGTTCTGATGTCCTGTTTTTTGGAGATGAGCGGACAAAAAAAAGACAAGTAAAGAGTTTGATATAAAAGTGTAATTCTCTTTAAAGAGCAACACTAGCAACTTGCAGTCCTCACTTCATTTTCCCAAACCATTCCCGTCAGATAAATTCAGACAGAATGATAGGAAAATAAATATAAAATACTAATTATATGAGAAAGAACAATAACTTGCATTTCCATAATGCCTTTCTTCCAAAGAGCTGAAAATGCCTTGCGAATATTAATGAATTTAACCTCACATCACACCTGTGTGGTAGGTGGTATTATCCTAATCTTATAGATGGGGAAATAGACACAGGAGAACAAAGCAATGGGCCCAGAATGATACATGATGTTTGTGGCAGAGCCAGCAAAGAACAAAGGTATTCTGACTTCTAGAACCTCAAGACCGGCCTACATCCTGATAAGAATTCTGTTTTGTTTTTTGTAGCAATTAAAAAAAATAGATTAATTGTGTACTTTAAAAATCAATTTAAATACAAGCTTCAGTGCTCATATTAAACTGAGCCAACAGTTTCTGTTTACAGAAATAGGGTTTGATCCTGTTCCCATTGACTTCAATGGCTTCTCGATTGGCCTCATACAGATGTTGTATCAGACATATGCATGAATAATGCTCTTGAATGCACTTTCATAGTCAGCAATCTATCCTTCTGTTGCAAGGCACAAATTTAGTGCTTTAAGAAAAAAAGGCAGGTACATGACGAGAATTATGTCACTCTTTCTCCCAAGATGAGAATAAGTGGCTAAGAATGAATGCATAAAGGATATGCAAATACCCATAACACAACAACGAGAGAATCTGTTTCTTCATTTTATCACAACAGTACAGCAGATGGAGCATCTTAAATTGATGTAAAAACATGGGAATAGCAACAAAGTTCACTAGAAAACTGCAATCAGAAGCTTTCTTGCAATGTTACCATTTTTAAAGTTACGTAATAAAGGAAAATGTTATATGGACTCCTGAAAGCTTTAAGCTTAAAATAAACATTTGACATATATTCATTAACAGTCTTTATTCCAGCAGATTTTTTAAGTTGGCAGAAAATAAAATTCCATCAGTTCCTTGCTTTTCTTTTGCCTTAATTTTCTTCTGTAGGCAGGGCCGGCTCCAGCATTTCTGCCGCCCCAAGCGAAAAAAAAAAACCCGCGATCGGCAGCGGCAGTTCAGTGGCAGGTCCTTCGCTCCTAGAGGGAGTGAGGGACCTGCCGCCCCCGAATTGCCGCAGGTGCCGCCCCTCTCCCTTGGCCGCTCCAAGCACCTGCTTGTTAAGCTGGTGCCTGGAGCCAGCCCTGTCTGTAGGTCATAATACCTTTATGTATTTAAATGGTTATAATAATGAAAGTGAAGGTGATGCAGTAGGGTTAAAAAAATTTATGAGCCTAATTACTGATGCTTATTATTCTCTGTAAACTCAATCTGCTTACGCCTCGGTACAGGTATGTGCCTCTCATTACTGCCATTTCCCCCCCTCCAAATCAGTAGCTTAGTAGACAATTCATTTTCTCCAATTACTGTAAAGTGAGCTGGAAAAAATATGTCAAAGGGCATGCATACACACCTTATGTACATTTCTTCTCTTTCAATTTCTTTGTAGAAATTCTGAAATACAAAATTATAATTCGGTTTTAAAGACTTTGATTTCGCAGCGTGCCATGTACATAGAATACGTACTAAATTAAAAGTCATAAGTGCATAATATCAACCTCAAAAACTGAAAAATGAAATTTGCCTCTGGTAGAGATGCCTGTAAGTTATTTAACTATAAAATCTAAAACCATGATGATGTTTCATTGCGTAACATTTTACAGCTTACGTTCCACTGCAAAGGTTGTGAATCAGAATCACAGTACTGGCAGAAATATACTTCGGGCATTTGCAAGTTACACAGCATTACCAAATTTTAACTGAAAGTAGTTTATCTACAAAAACATAATTTTAAAGTAACTGTTGAACTATGGTTTTTAAACTCTCAACCTTGAGTAATAAGTCATTCACTCTTGAATTCTAATATTTTCTTAAAAAACAGAAAGTTAAAATTGTTCCTTTTTCGGTTTTTATATACTACATCTCATCCTCCTGCAGGAAATGCCTGAATGCCTCTGGCCTTGAGACAGACAGAGATAAAGTACTGCAAATATTGGAAATGTATGATATGAAACATTAGGAAAGATATTAAAGATGCTAAGATTTACCAATTTTTTTTCCCAACTGTCATGGGGAGACATTGTTCCTTTAAGAGGAAAAAGGCTAGTGCACCTGTGACTAATTAGCTGCCTCTTAAACTGGGTTTAAAAGAAGGCATCTATCCCATATAAGTGGGGAGAGACTGAGAAGGAGTCATCAGAAAAAGGGCAGGTAAGGTAAGGCTGCCTGGGAGTGAAAGATTGACAGGCAAAATCTGCCAGAGACTAGGAGACTGTAGAACAGGGGTGGGCAAACTATGGCCCGGATCTGGCCCACGAGCTGTTTTAAGCTGGCCCGCTAGCTCCGGCCGGGGAGCAGAATGGGGGGCCGCACCACGCAGCTCGGCCCCGCTCAGGTGCTCCGGCCTGGGTGGTGGGTCAGGGGCTGCACCACGCAGCTCCGTCGCACTCTGGCGCTCCGGCCAGGGCGCTGGGTCGAGGGCCGCACCACGCAGCTCCTGGAAGCTGTGGCATGGCCCTCTTCTGGCTCCTATGTGCTCCAATGACCCCCTTCGGCGCTCCAATGAGAACTGCAGGGGCGGTACCAGTGGATGGGGCAGCGTGCAGAGCTGCCTGGCCATGCCTCCGCATAGGAGCCGGAGAAGGGACATGGCACTGTTTCCAGGAGCTGCTCGAGGTAAGCGCCGCTCGGAGCGTTCACCCCTAAGCCTCTCCCCATGCCCCAACCCTCTGCCCCAGCCCTAATCCCCCTCCCACCCTCCGAACCCCTTGGTCCCAGCCCAGAGCACCCTCCTACACCCCAAACTCCTCATCACCAGCCCCACGCCAGAGCCTGCACCCCCAACCAGAGCCCTCACCCCCTCTCGCACCCCAACCCCAATTTTGTGAGCATTCATGTGTCCCTTCTCCGGCTCCTATGTGGAGGCATGGCCAGGCGGCTCTGCAAGCTGCCCCATCTGCAGGCACCGCCCCTGGAGCTTCCGTTGGAGCACTGGAGGGGGCCACTGGAGCGCGGCCATGCCACAGAAGCCGCATGGTGCGACCCCCGACCCAGCACCCTGGCTGGAGCACCGGAACGGGGCTGAGCTGCGTGGTGTAGTCCCTGACCCCGCTCCCCTGCGGGATCTAGTGGGTCAGCTTAAAACAGCTCACGGGCCGGATCCGGCCTGCACTTTGCCCACCCCTGCTCTAGTAAGTACGAACTAAATTCATCCCTGTGGCAAAGGGCAAGTGCAAGGCCTATGTCCCATTTAAGCCCTACTTTGAGGTTTTAAGAAATAATTAAATGGTGAATTGATGTTAGGCTGGCCCTCTGTAGAAGGATGAATTTCGCCCTAGGCGCACTAAGGATGAAAAGATTATGTTAAACCCAATGGCTGAATACATCTTTAAAATGAGACCATGTCATCAAATATGATTTAAAATCTATGAGCCAAGTACTGCCCTGAGATGTTTGCATGCATCTCCCAATGACTTCAATGGGAGTGTTGTGTGGGAGTATCTGAGGGCAATTTGGCTCAATGACAATAAATCCCCCACAAAATTTACCATATGCAAATATTTGAAATATTGAGATCACATCCAGTATAACAAAAATTCAGCATTCAAAAATGTGTCTCTATATAGATGAAGAAAGAGGAGTATATTAACTGAAAGACAAGATGTGGTTAGAGAGACACCCAAGTGCACATTTAGATTCCCATATAGCTGATATGACAAGTTTTACTAAGAAGGATTCTCAGAGTTGACATTAAAGGAAAAACAACACGCATAGGGTATGAAGACGGGAAGGAAAAATAAACCTCTTTCCTAGTAGACTTTTCCAGTTTTATAAATGACTATAACTTGTTTTACATCTTCTTAAAAGCCACTGCAAATGCCTCTTTATTTTTGTAATTTCTTTGTCAGTTACCAACAGGCAGCCTCTTGTCACTCTAATTCTACTCAGAATGGCATGCTGCCTCTTCCACAAGCAATCTAAGTCATTCCTTGGATCACTGATCAGTGGCAACTTCAAGAGTTCTCTCCTCCTCAGATTATAAAGTGCTCAGTCTCTGCTGTACATACACAAGAAAAGCAAACTCTAATGCAAATCGTCATTTCTAAATTGACAGATCTGTATGCTGTGCCATTCTGTCACATGGGTGTGGCAACTGGGCCAAGTAATCCACCATCTGTGCAGTCTCCCTCATACAACCAATAAAATTGTTTCATGCAAATTAGCTTCAGAATAAAGCTGGTAATTGGTTGAGTTACCTCTGATGTCTTGGAAAGAAACCACTGGCCATTTGCAAAGCAAGGGACAGAGGCACTCCGACTGACCACCACAGGCGGTAAGAAGGAACTCAGAGGGCACAGGGCTGATGGTGCCTGATATACCGCGGCATGAGCGCAGCACTCCAGGAGGCACCACAGCCGGCCCTATGGATACCGCTAAGACAAAAATCGCAGATGGCCGCGCACATGGGTATGCGCACACCTGCAATGGAACTGACATAAGCAAGCACCTGAAGAAGAACCCAGTGATATTCTGAACCAAAGGAGCTCTCAACCACTCTTGTAGCTGCTTCCATCACTTCACACTGACTCAACAGATATTTTAGGCTTCAAAGTAACACACAGGTGACAATCCTGGTATCTGACTGTACAGATGATGATGTGGTAGATGGGTTGTACTGACAGGAGCTGAGGATGACTACATTACTCCCTTTCTAAATTCTCCCTTAAAAAAAATAAAATGAAAAAGTAAATGTGCCGAACAATATTTTTCAAGAACTCCCCTCTTTAAATCAGATTCATCAGCCTAGCAGCTGGGTGAAAATCATAAGATCTTTCATTTAGAACAAACAGAAGCTTGCTATTAAAATTAAAAATTCAGTACCCATTCTAAATTTAGCCGACTCATTTCTTCTCACTCACCAGTACATTGACAGTGCAGCTCATGCGATTTTCTTTGTTTTCATCGTGCATTATAGTTCTGTAATCCAGCAGTCTTTCCATCAGACGGACAACAAGTTTGACAAAAGTTTCTCCATTTTTAGCAAGATATTTGTGTTTTCTGCAGTGCTCCAAGAGTCTGAAAAATAATTACACACTCTTTGTTAAACACATTCAAGAAGAGGTACTAAACTAAGGTGCAATTTTAAATATTTTGCACCATTAACAGATTTTAATTATTTCTGGGCTACAAAGTTCATTGTAGTCTAAATATATTCTGACTTAAATCCCACTGCTAATCAACACTTACATTTTGTCAAATAACACTTTGTACTGTTCATCTCCTCTGCCTCCTTCCACTTCATGATCCAGTTTTGTGATGATCTCGTTTTCAAACTATAATAAACAGAGCAAGCATAAATAATCAGTATGGCAAATATTTCATTTTATTACTGTAGTATTAATGGCTCATAGATTGGTTGGATATCTCTATGATATGTTTAACCACTGTTTTTAAGCCTGATTGACTTTAAAAGTCTGCAATCTCAGATATCCATTATGATCTGCTGCCCTATAAGGATTTTCATTTGAGGAAACCATTGGTCATGTTGTTAAATGAAGCTTAAATATATGCATTAGGGAAATCTAAATAAGGTGGCTGATGACAGGAAGGAGTGTGTGTGTGGGGGGAGCATACAGAGCGGGACACACATTTCGCCTCCAGTGATTACAATAGCAACAAATACAACTCAACTGGATGAACATCCTAACATCTCTTTTTGGCTCACACTGTAACACACCTAATAGACAGTTTCAATGTCATTCCTGAAGGGAAGAGAGTTCTTTTGAATGGGTTAAGATCAGTATTTATATTTAAGAAGTTATAAGAGTACGCACTCAAAGGGATATTAACTATTTTAATAGTGGATTGGATAGTTCCATGAATTTTTAACGTAGTACAAAGCCTTTTGCCTCTAGTTGCCATGCCATTTTGAATCTGGTCCAGGTTGGTAGTAAACTAAAGTTGTTACCACAGGATTGGTGACTGGCAACCTACCATACATGGAATGAGTGATGTTGTCTTAGAATATCTAGGGTACAGGTATCCACATCAGAAATATATATTCTATTTAGTATCAGTTGGTGGAAGGGCCAGAATTGAATGGGCCAATGACACTGAACTACCCTATCACAGCTGGAGGTAGTCCCATTAGGTCAGAGTCAGAGTACATTGGCAGAGCAGTGTCACGAAACTCACTGTCTCTTGCTCATGCTGTACCTATTCTGTGGCTAAATGAAAGACTTCAGTCTCCAAGACTCTCCATCCAATATCTTTCACAAGAACTAAAATGTACTCAACTGTTTTAAATATAAAGAGATGTATTTTCCCCCTACACTTTGCATCTCTTTAATAGTAGAGTAAACAATAATATATTTCGATGAAAAAGAATTGTCTTCAGCCTGAGATTCTTAGTCTAACTTAAACTATCCATTCGCCAATAACTTAATTCTCAGTTAAACCATGGCTCATTTATGTCCCTCTTGTAGCAAACAGGGGCCTTAAAGTGGAACTAAATTACATTTGCACCTACTTTAAGGCCTGTTTATACTGCTGGAGCAGCGTACAGGGGCCTTACCATAACTGAGAATTCAGTCCTAAGACTCTACTATTGCAATGACATATATATTACAACTAACTAAGCAAACACAGATCCCTTTACCACAAGAGACAATAAAAATGAGACAAAAACAAGTATGACTTTAAACAAGTGTAATATAGAGATCACTTGCAAAAGATTTAGATGAAGTCTAAGCTCTGGACAAATTTTCCTCATCAAATGTCCTACACCCAAAACGTAGTGAATCTGCCACAAAGAAAAATTCCTTCCTACTCCCACATATAGCAATCAGGATAACTATTTGCATAAGGACAAAGATCAACTCACATCAACAGTAATCATTCAGTAGTTAAATAACTGCAATATGCACATGATCTGTGAGAGACCAATATGGGAAGGACCAAATGATGTCAGTGCTTACCAAGGAAAAGCTATGGGAAGAGATGGTGAGAAGAAACATCCTGTAGTGGGCAAGAAAGTGGATATGTGTGGCTGCCTTCCATTAGCAGCCTTTCATGGCCTCTCACACACCTGAAGCAACCATAATCAAGAGTGGTTTGGAAACACACCAGTCTCAGGCCAGCAGAATTCACATACAAATCCTGGCCATTTGGCTGAATAGAATGTGTGGGAGAATCTGTCCTGCTCCTAGCAGTCCTACAGATGGCAGGAATCTGTATCTGTGAACAGCTTAGTAGCAACAAAGGAGATCTAAACATCCACTCTTTAGAGTCAAATTATTTGATTCAAGCTCTTAACATCTGGATGTGCCTGCAGTAACTCTTCCAAAAGATCCCTAGCATTGTTTGTGTCTCCCCATCTGAGGCCCAGTCCCCCTTCAACTCCCAGACCCAGGCTCACTCTCCCAGGTTCCTTGACCCAATTTTCCTTCCCCAGTAAGGATCCTGTCCCCTCTGCTTTCAAGTGAGGTGGCTTCCTCCTCCATACTGCCTGGGAACAAGCAGGGGGAGCACTGAGAGCAGAGGAGAGCCAATCTCCCTGCTCTGAGTTTGGTGGCTGGTGCTGCAATGTGGCGAGCAGCAACAGCTAGAAACAGCAATTGCAGGAAAGTCCTGCTCAGCCCCTGAACCCCTAGAATGGAACATGCTCAGTGCAGACTGAATCTTAGTGATCATTTAGCCACCAAACTCCCAACTGGTCTCCACTGAGCATGTGTGAACTGAGATTTTCCAAAAGCTTATAACTTGGACAAATTTAGGCAACTTTTTAGGGAACAGCAAAAGGCACATCCCTGACTCCAGGGAAACCCCTCAACCAAATATCAAGCCCACGTTTCAAAGCACAGAGGCTATAGCGCTTCTCGATAAAATTATTATTGGATTTATTTTAAAAAACATGGGCAAAATAATGGACATTTCCCTAATATCATTCTCTGAAATTGGCTGAATCATTTTTGCTGAAGCTTTAAAAAACAAACAAACACACACAGCCTGAGGTAGACAGGCAGATCTGGAAAACTTCAGCCCAAATGTTTAAAGTTTGGTAAAGTTATAAGCAATTGAAAACAGGGGGTTATAATTAGATGTCTCAGGCAACCTTAACTATAGGTAGTGCTGCTAGTGCCGCCTATAAATATTCAATATACACAGTATTAAAAAGTGAGTATCCAAGATATAGTGCATACTACAACCATTTTAAATGCTTTGTTTGGCCAGATATTAAAAAATGAAAAGCCCATAAAAAAATTAAAACACAAGTTGTAGAGAATTTCAAATTTCCCCTTCTGTGCCCTAGCTGAAACAAAGTGACCCTTAATACATTGCAAGTATTATTTCAGAAATAAAAGGAAAATGAGAAAAGGAATCCACCACTTCAAAAAAGCAAAAACAAATTATGAAGCCCAACCCTGTAGTACAAAGACAAATCCAATAATATTTAAACCACTAAGTAAAAGAAAAGTCACAAATTTCATGTTCTCTAATGAGGCACAAAAAAGAATGGTCTTTCCCCACCTAGCTGAAGAAATGACATTTGCTGCCAGCACCAGCTCTCTGGGTGCTTTACCTAGGGGGGAGGGATAGCTCAGTGGTTTGTGCATTGGCCTGCTAAACCCAGGATTGTGAGTTCAATCCTTGAGGGGGCCACTTAGGGATCTGGGGCAAAATCAGTACTTGGCCCTGCTAGTGAAGGCAGGGGGCTGGACTCAATGACCTTTCAGGGTCCCTTCCAGCTCTATGAGATAGGTATATCTCTATTTATTTATGTATTTGTTTGCCATTACTCATAAGAAGAGGAGGATTACACTTGACATACAGGATTTCCAACATTTTGTTGACATCAAGATTATTCAAATCACATTTCATCTAAATGCAAATTCCTATAAGTTCTAGCTCCTTCTGTAGACCCTAACACTACAGTCTGGGTACCCAGCTATGGTGGCACATCCCTCTGATGCTCGCTTTAGGTTGGCTGAGTGGGCTGAACAATGCTGGAGTATACTAGGGTTATGGCAATCGCTGTGGGGAGTGGCAGAAGGGAATGATTGTGGAAGGGCTTGTTTCCTGGATCCTTGCTGTGGTATTTGGAAGGAAACTGACTGGTTTAGATCAAATACCAGGCACAGGATGAGAGTACACTATTTAATATTACTTTCAGGGTCTTTTCACAGAAGATTACGGTGTCAATAGTGGCCCTGGGTTCATGTTGATAAATTCAAGGCTTATAAAATTGTTGCCATAAATTTGTTGATTAAGGATGATGCCCTGGCATTGCCTATACTAATTATTCAGGGAGACTGCATCTGATGTTAGTCAAGTGTTTCTTGCAATGAAGATTTTTCACATTATTTTGCATTAAAATTGCTCAGATTCAGACTGAGCAGTCTGCTTCTAGATTGGTGGAACTGATTCTTAAGGGAACAAGTGCTGAGTTCGTGGTGTTTAAGTTCCAGTTGGTGATACTCATGGAGGTTGTATCTGGAAGTTTAGGGAATGTACTTGTTAGGACCTATGAGTTAGAGCCATATCCTTCCCCTGGTTTGTGAACGCCAGCAGGGTGGTGTTGGGACCACTACTGGAGATTACTATTAACTCTTCCTTGGAGGTAGTCAAGATGTCAGCTTCATTTTAAAATGGTTGCTAGATCTCTGAGTCAAGAAACCATCCCTTGATGTAGACCATCTACCCAATTATTTCCCTGCTTAGTCTGCCATTTTTGAGAAAGACTACCATGACATCTGAAGGGAGGATATGCCCACAATATGTGGCATCCTCAGGTCTTTTTTAACATCATGAATCAATTTGTTTTTTGGCCTCGGAACAGTATAGAGAGACTACTCAGGTAGCGCTGGTTTATGGCTTCCTTCTGCCAAAGGATGAAGATCAGATGCCCAAGCTATTATTTTTTAGTACAGTCAAGCTGCCTTAAATATCATTAATTTTGTGAACTCACATTTGCCAAATGAGAATCTCAGATAGCTGCAACTAGGAAATAAGTTCAAATAAAGAAACAAACAAGATTTCACATTAAGTTTGTACTAAGATTAGCATGAACCTTAATGAAAACTTCAAGTGGCTTCAGCTCCTTCTTTCGTTATACCCCTACAATATCCATCTCCACAGATGGACCTAGGACCAATCACTTACCACAAGGTGATTTTAGTGCTCAGTGACCTTTACTACCTTACCCCTCTTCTTGATGTCACTGTGTGGGTCAATCAGCTGTCTTTCAAAGAAATCAGAAGTCAGGAGAATGTTAAATGCCATTGATACTTCATCCCTAGAAAACCCCGTACGATAAGCTACAGAACAAAGTCCT